TTGATAAATGAAAATATTAGAAAGAAAGAAAGAAAGAAAGAAAGAAAGAAAGAAAGAAAGAAAGAAAGAAAGAAAGAAAGAAAGAAAGAAAGAAAGAAAGATAGAAAGAAAGAAAGAAAGAAAGAAAGAAAGAAAGAAAGAAAGAAAGAAAAAGAAAAGAAGAAAAAGAAAGAAAGAAAGAAAGAAAAGAAAGAAAGAAAGAAAGAAAGAAAGAAAGAAAGAAAGAAAGAAAGAAAGAAAGAAAGAAAGAAAGAAAGAAAGAAAGAAAGAAAGAAAGAAAGAAAGAAAAAAAGGAAAGAAAGAAAGAAAGAAAGAAAGAAAGAAAGAAAGAAAGAAAGAAAGAAAGAAAGAAAGAAAGAAAGAAAGAAAGAAAGAAAGAAAGAAAGAAAGAAAGAAAGAAAGAAAGAAAGAAAGAAAGAAAGAAAGAAAGAAAGACAGACAGAAAGAATAAAAGCTGACAAAACCAACGAAAGTGATTTTTAAAAAATGGTTAAGAATTAGGTGCGCAGATCCATCTAACATTCTGCCCTTCTAATCGCCCTGCTTTCATAAATCATGTCAATCAAACATCATTCAATTCATACATCATTCAATTCATACATATTTAAATTCTTACATAATTCAATTCAGACATCATTCATTTCAGACATCATTCATTTCATACATCTGTTAACTAGCTATAGTCAACATGATCAAAAGCAGCTAACGACTATTAGATACAAGCACTCTAGACTGCTCAAAATACAACTTCTATGCAACCACAGTAAGGCATAACAATTGTAATAGTGATCAACGATTAATGAAGACTATTATCACAACACTCCGAACAGATCCATAGGTGCTCTGATCTCCTCCTCATTCGCTTCACAAGAGTAAGACCACTTATCACGCCCGTTCATGTGTGATGAACCAGACGCCTTGTGGAAGTAGGCTCACAGTTCTGGAAGCAAAGTCATATCTCAGAGTAGCTGCAAACAAGAAGCGACTCCCGCATGAAGCACTAGTTAGAGCTAAGACCAATCGACTCTGGGCGGGGATTCTTCAACATCTTGCCAGTCGCCTTTACTTCATAGGACTTTACCTCGTACCTTTTTAAAACTGGGTCGACTTGGAGCCAAAGTCATGAATATGGACAACTAAATTAGGCGCCATGCGGGTTTGACCACACGACTTCCGGATACGCAGGTGAATGTGTATTCTAGTTGGGGATGTACAATGAGTTTGTCCGCGACTGTGGCTAAGGCATTGCGAACGCGCTTTGTAATGCAAGGGTGCCAGGTTCCATCCCAGCTACGAGCTTTGCGTTGGTTTCGACAGTGGTATCAAGAAACCGACCGTCCCGAAAGCAATGGCAAACTACTGGACGTAAATTTGCCTAGAAAAACAACAGCCCCCCCCCCCCCCCCAAAAAAAAAAAAATGCCGGGCTTGGTTCTGCAACGTCCTGTAAAGAATACGCAACTAACATCAACAATAAGTTTAGGCGATTGCCTCTCATTATATATTTTTAAAAAAAACCTTAAGTAGATTAGACATTTTAGGATACTATTTTGTGAATATGTATAGCCTTTCTGAAGAATAAACGTTCACGAAACGCTGTAATATCGTAAGATCTTTGTGTGTTTTGGTGCCTTTATATGTTTTGCTACTTCTATTGATCTTACCAAGATATTTGGTTTAGTTAGTCGAAAAAGTCAGTTCAGCACACTGAAGACGATTGAGTGTCCACCCACCCTACTGAGCATGTCTTAATCCTCCATACAGGTTCGCTCTATGGAATATACTTATCAGTTCTTTCGTTTGTTTGTTTTAGTATCCAGAAGCCATGAGTTGTTTACCCTTAGGCTCGGTATTATTGATATCGCAACCTTTCGGCCTTGATTCCATTATAAATACCGTAAATCTGGGAGATATGTGGCTTTTCTGCCTAGCCTGGGGAGTGAACCCGGACCACAAGGAGTTTGTCACCCGGGCCTCAGTTCTTTTAAAACATGACTGTCGAGAGGTATATTTTTTTCATTCTTGGTCTGACTGCAGCCCTAACAATGCTCGTAAGGTAAGAAAGGTACTTATCATAGAGCTTTTGTCTGCAGACGATTCACCAATAACCACCCACTGACAGGAGGAGCTGCAATGTTAACTTTTTGCATTTACTGATGCATGCTGTGAATTTGAACAAACAGAAGACACAGATTACGATGCAAGATGTTAATGATATACCTGCAGTCTACATTGATGGTGAACAGCCGGGGGACAGTTGACCAGTTTACCTATCTGGTATCTACGGTGAAAAACAAACTAACAATGGATCAAGAAATCAGCATCATTATAGGAAAGGAAGCAACAACAAAAAGTAAATTTGAAGAAAAAAGTTTAGGGGGAAAAAATCTAACGATTAAAACAAAAACTCTTTTCTATCAGGCTTGTGTTTTCAGCACTCTGCATTATGGCAGTGAAACTTGGTCAACTTATTCGCACCAGGGGATATAGCTTTCACATGCGATGGCTAAGAAGAATACTTGGCATTCAGTGGCAGGACAAGATCACAATCACTGAGGTATTGGACAGAGCAGGTATTACAACAGTCTTCTCAATGCTCAGTCTACAAAGGCTCAGGTAGCTGGGTCACATCTGGAGAAGGAAGGATGGTGGAGTCCATAAGGACATTGCCTAGGCTGAATTAAATACGGATAAAAGATGTCAAAGCCCACCTCTACTACGATACAAAGATGTGTGCAAGTAGGACTTGAATGATACATGTATTAAGGTTGGCTCGTTGGAACAAAATGTCATGAAAGGGGGGGGGGGGGGACATCGGAAATGGAATGAGAATAAAGGAAGAAATTATTGCATAAAGGATGAGAGCTGAGCGTCAGAGAAGAAACAGACTAAACACAAACAGTGACAACCATAGTTCTGAAATGCCATGTTACAGTAAGTAGTTCCCTGCTTTACTGCATAAAATAGAAAAAGTAAAGAAAAGTGAAGGATTTTGCTGATGCAGGAGCCTTGATATAGTTTCATGACTCAGGAGATGACTTTGAGAATACTGGGTTACACAATAACAACTGCAACATATACCTACAAAGGCAACGCCTAGTCAGTTTATGTGCGCGAACTGCAAGTCTTTTTCTGAATCACACAAATGGTGTATAATATTCGCTTTCAGTATATGCTTTTTTTCTCGAACGAACAGAAAACTGGTGTGATTCTCAAATAACAATACATCAACACGGAAGATGTGATATTAATTCCAGCTAGCGGCGTAAGTTAATTTCACATTTCTATAATAAGGAGAACGACCTGTCATCAAAACCTTCGCGCCAGGATAAGTATGGACATGGACACTAAACATACACAATCTAAAAACGACATCGCAAAGCGATGCCTAGTGAGCCAATACATCTGTCCATCAATCTCTGGGTAAAATAGCGAAAGACCACATTATAGTATGTCTAATGCAATAAAATAAGCACTGTTTGGTCTGTGAACGTCATTAAATATTTGATCGTTAAGTAACGTCTCCTCGATCACCTAAGAAACCGTCTCTTGAATGTATGAAATATGCATCTAATGTCACTAAAACATTTTACTTCGACCAGAGCCCCAGGAAACTTATCTGTCGCATTGCTCGGACATTAATTAACACACCCTTTCCCATTGACTCACAACTGTCGATTGTCCAGGAGTCGCTCTCTCACGCTACAAGAAATTGTGAATTCTTTGTCCGATTTTCCCACGTGTCGGATTTCTCCTTCATGGGCGGCCGACCATCATCTTAGATCGCATCACATCTTTTTTTCTTTTGTCCGTGGCAATACAGACTACAGTGTCAAGGCCACTAATTGTTCATTAACTCTTTAGGCAGGCATCGCCCTAATTCACACACACACACACACGCACACACATACACACACACACACTCATATATATATATATATATATATGTACATACATACATACATACATACATACATACATACATACATACATAAACACATGTCTGGATGTGCTCATTTACATTTTCCACCGGAGTGTTTTCGATGTATAGTTAAAGCTTTCTTTCTGAATTTAAACTATTCAGTTTTTGTTTTGTTAATTTTTTTTTTCTGCATTTGGTTAGCAGAGCTGTCTTTCACTACATTATTGAATTAGTGTTGTAAAAACAACGCTAGGACACTGAAAGTTGAAACATTTGTATAGACTGGTCTGTCATCTGTGAATAAATCCCAGTACGACGACAGTATATAAAGATAATTTATGTAAAAACAAAAATACACACAATAAAGTGAAATTCCAACCTCTTCGGCAGTCTAACCTCTCACCTCAAGAACTTCAGGCACTTTTGAAACGTCGTGATGATATTGTTATCAAAGCTGCCGACAAGGGAAGGGCGATAGTAGTCTGGAGAAAAGATGTATATGTTACAGACAACTTAGTGACACATCTTCTTTGAACACCAGACACAGAATGCTTCTGTAAAAAAAAAAAAAAACTACAAAATAGTAAAAAGTACCATCACAACTTTCACCCAGAAAGACCTTCCGCCTGCCTGGGCCAGCTCTCTATTTGTCGAGGACAGTTGTCTGTGGAAGCCTGACCTTCACATGCTTTCCAAGATACATAAACCGGACAACCCAGGTAGACCGACCGTGTCCACCTGCGCTTGTCTCACAGATCTCATATCCGGGTTCCTTGACCGTATTTTGCAGCCCCTGGTCGTTGATCTGCCGTCTTACATCAAAGATACTAACTATACTATCTGTCTTTCAATCCTTCGGGTTCACCTCTTCTTCCAGGTACCACATCTTCACCTTAGATGTTACCTCCCTCTACACCTCTATTTCACATTCGGATGGCCTCCAGGCTTTGCGGTTCTTTCTGGATCAGAAAGTCAGTCCTGCCATAGCCACTGACCCCTTGATTCGTCTGGCTGAGCTAGTGCTCATTCTAAACTCGTTTGAGTATTTTATCCAGATCAGCGGCGTCGCTTTGGGGACC